AGCCCCGTCACCTTGATCTTGTTGACGTCGTACACGTTGCAGGCGAAGGGGCTGCCGCGCACGGGCTCGCCGTCCAGCGCCACCGTCAGGCTGTGGCGGCCCACCTCCTCCGGGGTGAAGGTGGCCGTGAACTTGTTGTCGGGGCTCTGCGAGGTGGTGGAGGGCAGGGTGCGGCCGGAGGGCGCCAGGACGCTGATGGAGCACGTCCCGCCGCCCGGAGGTACGGCCCCGTTCCCGGCTTTCTGCGGGTCCACGGTGATGCTGGCGGGCCGGCCCAGGGCGCACGCCTTGAGCCCCGGGCCCGACACCAGCACCTGGCTCCAGTCCAGCACCTTGCACGTGAAAGGAGAACCTGGGCAGGAAGAGAAAGGCGCGGAGGTTAGCGGGCGTTAGACAGAGGGCAGCGCTGGCGGCTAGGGCGAGGCAACCGTACTCACCAGGAACGGGCTCCCCGTTGAACCGCACGCTGAGGCTGTGCGGCGCCGCCTCCTGGGGCTTGAAGTTGACTTTGAACTTGGCGTTGCCTTCAGACTGGACATAGTTGGGCACGTTGCAGCCGTTGACGGACACGATGATCTCCAAGTTCCCTGCACCCGCTTGACTGGCGTTGACTGTGGAGGGGCGGAGTTTAGTATATCTAATAGATTGCGCCATGCTGTAAATGCGAGTTAGCTTTCCTTCATTAGATACTCACTGCTGAAGAAGACGGGCTTGCCCACAGTGCCCACGTTGATGTCCGTCACTTTGACCTTGGCGGCGTCGTAGGCCTTGACCAGGAAGGGGCTTCCCTCGACGTGCGCGCCGCCCACCTTGACCTCCACGCTGTGGTCGCCCACGTCGGCGGGTGTGAAGTGCACGGCGTAGCGACCCGACGACAGCCCCGAGCCCTGCAGCGGGGCCACGTCCACGAGGAGGGGACGGCGCGAGGGCGACAGCACCTGCACGTCCGGGGCGGCCTGCCCCGCCGCGTCCGACTCGACGGTGAAGGAGGCGGGCCGGTTGACGGCCACCTTCTCCAGGCCCTCGCTGGCCACCACGACGCGCGCGGCCTGTGCCACCTGGCACTGGAACGGGCTCCCGGGTACGTCCTCCCCGTTGAAGCGCAGGTCCACGGTGTGCGGCGCGGCCTCACGCGGCGTGAAGGAGATGGCGTAGGTGTGGGGGCCTTGAGCCTGCGCCGAAGTGGGCACGCGACCGCCGTTTACAGTCACCTCCAGGTTGCCCGGCCCGGCCTGGCTCGTCTCCACTGGAATGAAATAAAATGGGCTTTTCAGAACATACGTCTCACACACCATTGGCACACACCACTCCACCGGCGACGACGTTGTCCTTACCCAGGAAGGTGATGGCCTTCCCCACGCTGCCCTGCGCCACGTCCTTGACTTTGATGGCGCGGACGTCGTACACCTTGCAGCTGAAGGGCGACCCCGCCACGGGCGCGCCCCGGTACGCCACGCTGACCGAGTGCTCGCCGACGACGCGCGGCGCGAACTCGACGTGGAACACCTGTCCGCCATTGTCTTTGACCTGGGCCGGCACGGCCTGTCCGTTTGGTCCTGAATGGTGCCAGGGGGTATCCGTTGCCAGTGCTCAGTGGAAACATATTAATATGATGATTAAGGATGGCCGAGGAGACGTGACTGGCGAGTCCTTTGATTAGTAGAGAGCGCCGGCTGAGAGGCAGGTATGGGGAGAGGAAGGAGCAGACGGACAGACAGGCGGAGGCGCACAGAGGCACTAGGTACTAGTGTGGCGGGAAACATGTCTACCGATGCACCTTGTGGTTATGGTTTATCAGTACGGTTATTTCCTACCCTAAGATAACACTAAATCGCGCTTTCGCATGGGTTAAACTTATCGCGTAATAGTTAGCATCAAGGAGCGAATTTTGCCTAAAGAAATACGCTACTGGCGTTGTCTTGCGAGGCACCTCGCGATGTGAGCAAATACTTTGTGGTTAATGATGTCATATACCCTTCACCAGCTACATAACCCGGGAGAAGTCCTCTGTTGTTCATTGGGTGTTCAATCACTCAATCGCTGTAACCTTGTAGGGAGACGATTCAGTGATCAAGTTCCCAATCAATTGGCAGTGGGGAGCAATACGAATCGACTTTATGTACAAATAAGAAATAGGACAATACTCAAGTACCGCGTTGAGCGGTGCAATGAGACTAGTCATGACTATGTTCTGAGTGCTTGACGAGACTCCGTCAGAAGTTCCAGTCTGACGGAATATTGTTCAGTGCACGGGGAATATATGGCGTGATAAAATGTGACGACTAAAGCAGATGAAACCTGTCGTCTGCGCATCACCCTATACGAGTACATACAATGAATGTAAAGATGGCAAATGATACATACGCCATGACTTTTTTCTTCAGCATCATAATCTGACTAGAATTAGTTGTATAAAACGAAAAGGGAACGCAAAGCATGCAAGAGGTTCAGAACGGCTAGCATGCCAAGTCCAAAGCCGTGCATTAGGAGATCGAATCAAAACAAACAAAAATATAATGAGCGTCCATAGAGAAACATGCGAGGAAAAGAAGGAAAAGTGGAGGATGTGCGAAGGATTTCGCGTTAGAGTTAATCACTAGGAGAATGCTCAAAAAAGGAAAGAAGGAGAAAGATGGTTCGTAATAAGTCTATATAGTCGAAATAATGTCCGCGTCGGGAGTGACAGTGAGTCGTGTGTGCAGTGACGAGTTGGGTGCTAGTAACGTCGCATTCTGTAGGGGGAGTTCCTTCCTGCAAAGACGAACAAGAAAGAGGTCCGTGAAACAACAGCGGGGCAAGAGGTATAATAACAACCACCAGTGTGCATGGGGCCCTGGCCCTGGTGTGCGTGGGACTGTAAGGATCTCCCCTGGCTGGGCCCAAGCCTCGCGACTTACCGTTGGCACCCCCTGTCAAACCTGTCAAACACGGCTTGAGAGTGGGGATCGGATGTCCTATCCTAAAAACTGCGTGTCTACCAATAAGGAAAAACGACGTAGCTAGCTAGAGACGGAGAAGAAGCATGGGGGGCGGGTGAGGAGGGGAAGAATGTTCAGAAAGTACGAGGGAAGTATAGCATCTTTACAATTTTACAGTACATACAAAAACGTACAAAGAAGGCATGTGAAAATTTTAGCGGGCGAAAGAGAGAGACGGGGAAGGTGTATGCCACGCAGGGTGCCCCACCGTAGGCCCTGTACATATTTTTTTGTTGGTTCCGCGCCGAGCGAGTAGGCAACCACCCACACGCCTGAGTGCGGTAGATATACGCGTCCATGTGAAGCAGACTTATTAATCGTCACAAAGTGCTGATTAATAATAATGTAAGATTTCAGAAGGGCTTGGCTACTGAGTATGGCTGTAGCAGTACAGTGCCCTGTTTCATTGGCGGTAGAGTAGAGAACATACTCTTCGTCCTCAGCAGAACAGAGTACTCAGGACAAATCGTGGCATAGCCCAGGGAGAGGGTCATGGATGAGATGAAGAAATTGGGAACGCCTCAGGCCGACTGCTCATAACTGACTGCCATTGAAGAATATCGCGTCACACTCCTCGACGGGGACCAATAGGGGCCTTTGCGTTCTACTCACCCTCAACGTTGACCTCGATGTCCTCAACGCTGCCGCCTACGTTGTTCATGGTGAAGTAGGAAGTCTTTCCCACAGCGGCCGATGACAGAGACGGCCCGCTGACCGTGATGTGGTGCGGCGAGTCTCCTGCCACACGGGCCAGGAAAGGCGACCCGGGGACGGGCTCCTTGTTGAAGTTGATGCTGATCACGTGGTCGGTCGGCTCGATGGGCACAAAGCTGACGGCGAAGCGCGCGTTGCCCTGGGGGTGCACTTGCGTGGGGATGTTGTGGCCACGGGCGCTGATGGTGATCTCCAGGTTGCCCTCGCCAGCCTCACTCGCGTCCACCATGAACTGCAAAGTCTTGCCGACGGCGCCCTGGGGCAGTGGCCCGACCAGCACGCGCTTGGCGTCGTACGCCTTAGCCACGAAGGGCGTCCCGCTCACAGGGTGGCCGTTGTACTCGACGGTGATGGAGTGCGCGCCCACGTCGCGCGGCGTGAACTCGGCCGTGAAGCCCGAGTGCACGTTGCCCGTCACCTTGACGGGCAGCTCGGCGGTGGGCCCGCGCACGGACACGGCGAGCTCGGCGCTGCCCGACCCGTCCACGGCCATGTGGAAGCGCGCCACCTCGTCGACGGGCACCAGCTCCAGGTTGCGCAGCGTCAGCGATACCCGGCTCGTGTCCGACACGGCGCACACGAACGGGCAGCCCGCCACGGTCTCGCCGTTGAACTTGATGTCGATGAGGTGAGGCTTGGTCTGCTCTGGCGTGAAGCTCACGAGGCAGCGGCCGCCACCCACCACCTGCACGTGGTTCGGCACCTCTCCCTCGTTGATGGAGATCTCGAGCTGGCCCTCCCCCGCCTGGCTGGCGTCGACTGTAAGCAAAGCAAGGTGCGAGTTAGTTTAGAGCAACAGAGCAGCGACTAATTGCCACACTCTCCTCCAATCGCACCTCGGAGGTGCCCGAGCGTTAAGGCCGTACTCACCCCTGAATTGGCAGGGCTGCCCCACCACACCGCTGCCCACCTCGGTGACCCGGATGAGGCTCGAGTTGTACACCTTGGCCACGAGCGGGCCGGCGGCGAGCTTCTCCCCGGCCAGCGACACCTCGACCAGGTGGCTGCCCACCTCCGTGGGGGTGAACTCGATGCGGAACATGCCTCCGCCCTCCTCCATGAGGCGCGCACTCAGCGGCCGTTTCGAGGGGCCTGCGGACATAACAAACGGTCAGCGCCCCCGTCAGCACTTCGGTCAGCAGCACCGCACCACACCATTTCTCGGCTCGGCTTCCAATACTTACTCATGATGTGAACGTCGATGTCGCTGCGCTTGAAGCCCAGCGCGCTCAGCTCGAAGGCCGCCGTGGTCCCGGCGGCCACCAGCCGCACTGCCTCGCCGAGGACCGACATCTTGGGACCCGCCATGACTGCGACTTGCCACGGGCTGCCTGCAAGCGACCAGAGTCTCATTAGCGACCGAGACACACTCTCTGCACCTTCCTTTCATGGTTTCTTTCATTTATTTCTTTTTCAAGCGGCTTCTGGGGTCACGACAACTGACTTGAGCTTCTCGGTTCGCAAAACACACGACGCAAAAAAACAGCTTCTCTAATGCTATAGTCATTTGGGAGAAAGTGCGTGGAGGAGGACTAGCCGCCGCCCGCCCTGGGTGTCCCAGACTGTCCCAGGTGCGCCCCGTGCGACTTAGGCAAGCCGCGCGCACCCCTGCCTGGCGGTGCAGCATCACCGCGGCAGAGCGCCGCCGCCGGTCCAGTTCAGCGCGCCCAATTCCCTCAGCGGTGGCGGAAGACCACGACGAAGGTGACGCGGCGCAAGTTTTCTGAAGAGAGGGAAAACGGACATCGAGGTGGCGACGACGGAGGCTCCGGCGTGAGCGTGGGGCCCAACAGGCTGCAGGGCGGAAGGAGGAAGGAAGGCCGGGAGGAGCACGCCGCCACCAGCTGGGTGGCCCCCCCGGCGCGCCGCGGCGGCGTGACGTCACAGCCCCTAAAGTGTGTGCGTTGCTTTCTCGTTTCCACACCTGGCCGTCAGGTGGTGGCCCGGGCGGGCGCGGCCCAGCTAAAGCGACACCGTCTGCCAACACCTACGCTACGCACAACGCACCGGGTAGGGGTTCGAGAGCCAATAACCTCCCATCCCGTCGGGTGCGAGCCGCCCGTGAGTCACCGTTGGCGCGGCGGCTCGCGCGCGGTCGGTCCGCGGATGGGGGGCCGCGGGGGAGGGGGCGCGCGGGGGGCGTGGGCGAGCGCACTACTGGAGACGCTCGCGTGGGCGTGACACCCGCGTTTAAATCGGAGGGGAATCGCATTCACCTTGGAGGAATAACAAGCGGCAAGTCGCAAAAACAAGCAAATAACCTCCAGGTCTCACGAGAGGCTGTGACACCACACTTCGTTCCGTACTGCGGATAGACTCTGTAACACTACTAGGGATTGATTTGCTCTGGGGTTCAGAAATCTGCACACGAAAGGCGACACGTTTCCCTACACACTACCAGCGAAGTTTGCCTTGCTGGAAACCTGTCTACGCTGGCAGTGTTGCTGGCTCGACGGCGCCGCGTTGGAGTCGCGAGGCGCGGCGCGTCTGACTCGCGCTGCCACGAGGCGCCTTTACTTCGCCGGCACCACACCCAGTCCGCCCGGTCCGAGCCGAGAGGCGCGCCAAACAGCCTCATTCAGTCTTCCCGTCCCGTCAGCGACTTCCAGCGCGCCGCACGGCCCCGCCCGGCGTATCCGGGACGAGTGTGGAGGTGGCGGGTCGGACCAAAACGGAAAGGGCGAAGAAGAGCAGTGGTATCGAGTTGGCTGCTCCCACAGTGACATTGGAATTTAATTTCCCGAGTTTGGCATCTCCGTTCCCACTGGCTGACTCTCCGCTGCATCCAGAGAGAAAAGGCTGCATCGCATACGCGTAGTGCGGTTCCAGCCTTCCGCGCGGCGAGGACGCCGGCTGACGTCAGCGGCGTCGAGTTCACGATCCAACCACAAGTGCATATGTGTGTGGACTGATTTGTGCCTGTACGGGCCGGGATTGCATTGAACGGCAGCGCGGTCGAGCACACACCGCACCGCGCCCTGCCCACAGCAGCACCACTGCCATCCTGCCATCGCACTCCCACGACCTTGGCACGGCGAGCGGGCGCGGCCGGTGGCGGCTGAATTGTGAGGAGAAAGGAAGAGAGCGGAGACCAAGTTGCTCAAAGTGACCGGCCCCTGCAGGAGGTTACGGCCGAGTCCTTATGGCTCCCCGCGGGGCCTGTCCGGCCCGGCCCAGCCCGACGGACGGCGCGACACGGTGTTGTGTAACGCCGAGTAAAGGGACATGCAGGACGCGGCCCTGGACGGTGGTGGCAAGGAGGCCGAATGAGTGGCGGAGAGAAGCACACACAGCGCGGCGGCCTCCTGGAGCGGCCCGCAGCGGCCCGCAGCACGCCGGGGCAAAGCGCTGGAATGCGCTGGAGAATCACGCACGCGGCTTAAAAGGCCAGAGGGGACGGGGAAACGGACCAGCAGGAGCAGGAGGAAGAAAAGAGGGGGGGGGGGCAGAGAGCAGGTGAAGTTACACAGTAGGCAAACCGAATGTTTCCGTCGGGGCATTGCGTTGTCGGGCTCCTTCCGACGATATGCTTGCCTCGATCTGAGTACTAATGGCAATCTTCAGATACAACTGAGCCGTTCGTTATAGGGGCAAAGTTTTGGCATAATAACTTTGATTCCATGGCACAACAGTCATAAAACGATATTCCATAAACCAGCCATATTTGGCAGACGGGTTGGTTTAGAATTGGGTAAAGGCTATATATTCGGCGGTATTCGGGTGGGAGGAAGTACGGGGGGGGGGGGGACATGTTGGGGCACCCTGGCCGGCAGCATGCGAGGGGAAGGAGGGGTGAGCGGTGGGTCCGAGAGGCCGTGCTCAGCCCAGCCCAGCCCGGCCCTCGAACCGGTACCTCCGGCCCGCGCCTCCGCCGCGCCGTGCCGTGCGGTGAGCCGCGTAGTCCAGGCGGCGGCGCGTCACGTCGCATACCGGGCCGGAGCCCCAGGCCCCAGGACGCTCCCAGCCACCTGCTGGCACCTGCGGGCACCTGCAGGCACCTGCAGGCACCTGCAGGGGTGCGTGGCCGCAGCGGGGTCCTGGGGGTCCTGGCCAGCACTAGCCCGCCGCAACTGTCGCGGCCTCGGGGTCCTGGCCAGCACTAGCCCGCCGCAACTGTCGCGGCCTCCAGTGACACCTGATCCTTCCGACCGTATCCACTGGAGGCAGGGAGGCCATGAGAGGGCCCCGTAGGGGCGTAGCCGCACGCGTTGCTGCTGGAGGTGGTCCAGGAGGTCCAGGTCCACCCGCCGCGTCACTCTCCGATCGGGTCGGGTCAGGTGGGCCGCGCGGGCCGCGCACCGACGGCACGCCAAAGGCACGCCAAAGGCACGCCAAAGGCACGCCGATGGCACGCCCGGCCCCGCCCGCTGCGCCGCCACTTTCTCATCGCCAAGAAAGTGCGTCCCGACCGCGCCGTGAGCTGCGCCCGACCCGGCCGCCGGCCCGCCGCGGCACGGGGACCACGGGCCCCGCCCGCACCCGCCTGACGGCCCCGACGGCTCCTGCTCCTGCACTGACACTTGTAGCGACGCCTCCGGGCGAACCTCCGGGGGGTGAACGGCCGCCCCGCCAGCACACTGTCGTCACATACACACGCGCCTTACCCTTTCAGAGAGTCAAGGGGATGCTAACGTCACTGCACCGTCACTTTGTCACGTCACTGCACTGCACACACTGTCACTCCCGACGCGGACGCCGCTCTCAGCTTCGCCTTAACGCCATTATAAAAGGAACGGCGGCGACGCACGGTGAGACGGCGTCGACCTGTTCGGCGGGGCCTCCGACGCGGACTGGCTGTGGCTGGCTGCCGGCTGCCGGCGGGCCGCGCCGACTCGGCAGGGCGGGCCGCCAGCTCGGGCTGGCCGCTCACGGCGGGGCGTAGCGGGGAGCGGTGGGCGCGGCGACGGCTGAGGTGGGGGCGGAGGGGCGGGGGCGACCTACCTGGCGGCGTGGAGGGGGCAGCTCAAGAAGAGATTGCACTGCCGCGCTGGCGCGTACCCCGGCGGTGCTGCGCTACCTGGTGGTCGGCCCGTCGGCCCTGCGCGCCGCCCTGCAGGCGGCCCTGCAGCCCAGCAGGGCGACAGGAGCGCGGCTCAGCCAGGTGCGCGCGTATCCATTCATCGCGCGCTCATACAGTCCCAGACCCTAATGCGTCCCAGCAGGTGTGAGCGCTGCGAGCGCAGAGGCGCCCGACTTTGCAGGTCGACTCGGTTGTCCATTCCCTTCGACCTGCGCGTCCTGCGCGTCCTGCGCGGGGAGGGGCACGCCTGTGGCCGCGGATCATCAACGGTGTTCGCGCTTCCGCCGCCCTCCTGGCTGCCCCACCCCACCTCGCCCTGCCCCGCCACGCCGCCCCGCTTCACTCCGCGCGGAACCACATTCCAATCCGACCAGGCGAGTGCGGCCAGGGCCTAGAGCTGGGGCTGAACGAACGAGCGATCCGTGCTCGACGCGACGCCTCCAGAGAGACAACACTCTCCCGCCCATCCCCCTGCCATCGCTCTTTCTCTACATAATTGCATTTTCGTTCTTGCAGATTATCCTCAGCATGTGCAAGAAGTAGAGAGAGAGGGGGGCAGAGGGGAAGTGCAGATTAGTTCGACCCGGGCCGCACAATCAAGGTACAATTACCCGCGCGGCGCGGTGCAGCGCGGCCAGCGCGGCGCGGGGAATGTCACTGGAGGAGCCGCGCCGCCCACCGCCGCCTGCCCACGCCCCGCCCCGCCACGCCTCGCCCCGCCACGCACTCGCTAATGGGAGCGGCCCGCGAGGTCGGCGCCACGGGGGCGCCGCACCGCGCACTGCTCTTTACGCCTCCGACTGTCGGCAGAGCGGTCCAGCAGCACCGCGCCGAGAGTGGCCGCCTCCGGCCACTACAACACAGCGCCCTCGCCGTGCTACATTGAGGAGGAGGAACCCTTTGTATGTGCAAAGGTGGGCGCTGTGTCCCGTTGGAGCGAATGCGTGTACTAGTAGTCCGAATGTGGCATGTAGGGTGCGAACGGGTTTGCCTATCGTCTCTCGCCATGAAGCTTGATGGGGCCGTACGAATAGGCAACCCATTCGCACGTCTGCAGGCGGACTAGTGCACGCATTTACTCCAACGGGGCACAAAGACCACCCTGCATGCAGAATCAATAACTCTAGCGAGTAACAAATGCACCTCTTATTTCTCAGATTGCCGTTCGCTTGTTTCCGAGGTGCTGCTGATGTACGGAGGCTGCGTCCCGTACAGTACATATACGCGCGCTCTGGTCCAGGCCCTGGCCCCTGTCCATGGTGCCCCCGGCGAACATCGCGCGCGCGGGGGGGAACCAGTTAGTCCTGCAAG